TTTTCATTTATATTTAAAAAATAAATATAAATAAATGAAAAAAAAATTTATCTTTATTTTATAAAAGTAAATGATCCATTTATCTTTATTTTATAAAAGTAAATGATTCCTTTATATTTATTTATTTCTACCTTTACTTTTAAAAATAAAGGTAGAAATAATAAAGGAATCATTTACTTTTATAAAATAAACGTCGAAAGAACAAATGCCGAAGAAAAAACTGACGAAAAAGAAATGTCGGAAAAAAACGTCGACGGAAAAAAAATTGAAGGAAAAAATATCGGAAGGATGGATAATGATGAGCTTGATCAGAAAAGTAAAAATCTTGGGCTGCTGTCGTGAGTGTCCAACTGCTATGCTTATTAAGCTTCCTTAGGAGGATCCTCCATTTAGATTTTCGCCAACATTCCCAGTTTGTAGAGGATACTTCGAGGTATATATCCTGAAGTTTTCTCGGCTTACTGGCATTATTTAGCTAAGAAAAAAATTAATTATTTTAAAATATATTATTGAGTTTTTGAAGAAAAGAATTCGTGTCTATTCACCATTCATCATAAAAAAATTGGTTCTTGTTTAGATCGATAGAGAAATGTGTGGAGAATATTTACTACGAGAAAATATGAATATCACATAAAGTATTTTATCTGAAAAATCACGTTTGCAAGAGAAAGAAAATCATGTATGCATTGTACAGAAAATTCATGAAATGCTGTGGATCACAAATCTAGTCACATTGAAGCATGTAGTGTGTGACAAACTTGACTTTTTCGACATACAATATAATTTCCGCAATTTCATTAGATCATCAACATGCTGAATTGTAGTAAGAAATTTATGGTTGATAGAAAACAGTAAGAACATCTAGCTGTTTAAAAAAAGAATCGCTAGATACAAAAAGCGATATAATTAGTTGTAAATCGAGGTGACAAAAAAAGGAAAAAGGAAACACAGTTCGTACAGAGATTCGAACTCTGAACCTAGAGATCAGTAGTTTCCTTCTATATACGTAGGCATGAGCGCTAATGGTAATTTACCGTCGGTAACGGTAAAGGATTTAAAACTCGGTAACTGTAAAAAAATTTTTTACCGAAGTTCGGGTAAAATCCGATGCATCGAGATAACCCACCGCATTAAACGGTAAATACTTAAATTTTAAAATAATTATGGTAAATACCATAAATTTCTTACTAAATGCATCAGATATTGCATCGTGTAATCGGGTAAAATCCGATGCATCTAGATAACCCGATACTTTTTACTCTTTTATCTACATACTTTTGCTAGAGTATCGGGCGATACTCCAACAAATGTATCTAGATTTTTTCGCTTACGAATTCGTGCTTGGGATCAGACGACTGTTTTGCTTTCTACTGAATTGTCAGCGTTGTCAGGAATATTACTTTTACAGACGTTTCTATACTTTTCAATGGAAGACAATAACTGTCGTCCTTGTGGTCTGAGATAAAGAGATTGCAGTTACATTGTTCCGAATTATGTTCCCCGTAAAAGACAATATACAAAAGTAGTCAATTTGTACTTGTGTAGTGTTGAAGAGTCGACAATGAAAAACACATTTTCACTTTGATGCTATATTGATTTGAAATCAAGAAATATTCTGTTTAGTTTTTATATTTTCCATGACATCGCCAATTTAATTTAAAACATTTTGACGAAATGCTAGTCTTTTGCCCCTGTTTGTGTTTCTAAACTATCACGAGTAGTTTCTAAATAGTCGATGAGATATGATAGAAAAATTGGAAAGTGACAAGGACAATTCAGCATGTTGACGATCTAATGAAATTGCGGAAATTATATTGTATGTCGAAAAAGTTAAGTTTGTCACACACTACATGCTTCAATGTGACTAGATTTGTGATCCACAGCATTTCATGACTTTTCTGTACAATGCATACATGATTTTCTTTCTCTTGCAAACGTGATTTTTCAGATAAAATACTTCATGTGATGTTGACATTAAAAATGATTTCTTGATGCATAGGTCGACATTAGACCTAATGTATGCCAAATTGTTTTACTGAATTATAGAAGTCAAATTCAAGAGACATCGAAGCAGAAAGGATGGCAGTAGTGTTAAGCAAAATTGAACAGAGGATGAAGAATATGTGATTTTTTTCAAATTTCTTTCTTTATTTTAGAATCAATGTTGAACATCTTTTTATTATTTTGTGGACTAGTTGATGTTGATGCAGTGTTTCATTTGTATGATACTGACATAAGCAATCAAAACGAATACAAAGATTGTTTGTATGCTGATAATTCAAATATGGAAACAAATGAATTTCAACTGATTCCATATTGTATCAGAAATCTGAACATAAATCGACCATTAACATGTTCCGATGTTAATTTTACATTTACTTTACTGAAGCAAATGAATGTAAGGGGTGAAGATTTGTACAATTGGTTTGCACCTATCGACATAATTAATGATTATCAAAAATATTTGTTCGTTGACAACAGTGATGTCTCATTGTTTGCAGATAAATATTATTGTAATTGTACAGGTAAGAAAGGTAAAGATTTCACTGAAGAATTTGTTCACTTTTGTTAGTAAAAGGTGTTGGTTTCCCTTTAATTCTTTTCATCAATTTCGGATCACTGAACAGCTTCTCTTTTAACAGAAATCACTGCTTGGGAAACTACCTGGAAAAAATGTTTTTTCTTCTCAAACAGTACCTGGTTTCTTCAGCGTCCTACTTGGGAAAAACTCGGCACTACTTGTGATTTTTTTCAACCAGTGTAGCTGCTAAAGGGAGCCCTATCACCGGAGGTTGCATCTGATCAAACGTTTGTCTTTTAACAAATAGTGATCGCCTAAAAACTTTCAATCAAGAAATACTGTTTACAAAATTAAAAAATATTTTATATTTGAAGGAAAATCATTTGGTACTCATTGTCAGTGTTCGTTTGAACAAGATCACAAAATATTAACAGAAATAATCACTGAACAATAACGTGAGAAGACTAGTCTGAAAGACGAATATAGTTTAATCGATGAAATCATACCAACATGTTATATGGGTTTAAGGTGTAATTCAACTATATGTTTGGATTGGCGACAAGTATACGATGGAAATATAGATTGTGAATTTGGAGAAGATGAATCATATGATTGTTTAACATTGGAAGTGAATGAATGTGACAAAAAGACAGAATATCGATGTCAAAGTGGTCAGTGTATTTCGAGAATATTTTTAATTGATTTTTCTTATGACTGTATGGATTTAAGTGATGAACAAGATACGTATCTTGACTGGTTTGAGGCTAATAAATGTTATGTTTTTCCTTCTGTAATATGTGAAGAACTTGTCTGTAAGAGAATGATGTTTCCTTGTAGTGACGGACAATGTGGTCCTGCGTCGACGGTTTTACCTTTCTGTGAGAACGGACGCGACATGTTCTATAATATAATCGAAACCTAACTTTGCTTGCTTTACATCATTCTCCTATTCCGAATTATTATGATTGCTGGCTCTTTATGTTGCGCGTGTGGAAGAATACCAATGTTGCCGGACTGTCGTCTGCTAATTGTGATCGACTGTGCACAACATTCTCGAATGATTATTGTTCTGTCTATTTTAAACAGTATTGTTCGTCAAATAGTTTCTTTTTTCCAGCATTAAATAATCCACTCTATCCATTTGTAAAATATCTGTATCATAATGTCAGTACAGACTCGGCAAACCATGATGACGATGTTTATAAGATGTGGCGATTTCCTAATTATATTTGTTACAATCGCAGTTTATGCGCAGATTTGCCTTATACTAGTTCATTGTCGATCAAAGGTTTAACTTGTATTGAAAGTAAAATACCTGACTCTTTAACACGATTTTCCGAGAAAGTAGTACAAGTTTTCTCTTCTTGTTCAATTGCTCGTCTACAAATTGATAATAACAGTTTGTTACAATTATTTTATTGCAATAATTCAATGAAATTTATCTCGAAATATCGAGTTAATGATCAACAAGAAGATTGTTATTATGATAATGCAGAGGATGAAGATTTACGACATTTTTCATACACACATGATTTGCCAGATCGCTTTAATTGTGCATCATCAAATCAATCTATTCCACGTCCATTAATGGGTCATTGGAGATATGGATGTGCAGATAAATCGGACACAGTCTTTGTTAGCCTTTGTAAAAAAGTATCTGATTTAGGCTGTCAATTTCTTCGTGGAACTAATTTTTCACCTGTCTATTATGTATTTCAAGAAAATTGTAATGGTGTGACTAAATTACCATTTAATGTTAAAAATCAAACGGATGAAACGGATTGTAACGAATGGCCATCTCTATATAGGCAACGATATCAAAGATGTAATGGAGTTTGGGATACAAAAAATGGTAGTGATGAAATCAATTGTCCGAATACAAGTGATACTTTTCTACGACAAAAAATATTCAATTGCAGTGAAACTCAACATTATTGTCTTAAACTAAATGAAACTACAATAAGTTGTTTACCAATTGAACAAGCTGGTGATGGTCACATTGATTGCTTAGGTGCTACAGATGAAAGGACAACATCCATCTGTTTAACTGAAACAAAATTTCGTTGTTCCGACAGTATCTGTTTTAGTGCATCCTCAATTTGCGGTGCCGTATTGCCAATGGTACCTACTTGCCATGACAGATCCATCATTTGTCCATGGAACTTTAATCCAAAGTGTTGGTTCGTGAGCACTTTTAGTTTCATGTGTAAAGATAATCGGTGTCTAGATTCTTTTGATCGTTGCAACGGTATTATCGATTGCAGTGATGGTGATGACGAGTGGTTTTGTGATCTTGATTATGAACGAAAGATGATACAATTTTCTTTTGAAGTTATCGATTACTATCCAATACAGCAGTTGACGGTTGCTGTTACCACTGATACTGGTCATCAAACTGCTGTCTTATATCAGCCATTATCAACATTTTTGATATCACATCTACACACAACTCCAAAAAAGAAAACGATGGATGATAAACTGAGTCATTGGTATTGCAATCGAAGTATCATAGTAAATTTCAAACAATACATAAATACGAAACGAGAATGTTTATGTCCTCCAAGTTATTATGGTGAACGATGTCAATATCAATCGAGACGATTAACAATTATCTTCAAATTAGACATAAAAGATAGTCTGATTCGAGAACGACAAAATTTCATCAAACTGGTTGCTTATTTGATAACGAATGAAACAATTGTTTATTACGAAGAAATTATTTATATGCGTATGATGAAACATTTCTTTTATTTAATTTATCCGCAACAGTCTACAGAATTAAAAAATTGGTCTATTCGTCTGGATGCATTTTCTATTACAACAGCAAGCAATGTTGATTTCACAGCGTCATGGCTATTCGATATTCCATTTCCATTTTTGCCTGTCAATCGACTTGCTTTATATTTGATATTAACAGAACAAGAAACATGTTACACTTTACAATGTGGTACTTATGGTAGCTGTCGAAAATATTTAAATGCACCATACAAAGATTATTGTCAATGTGAAAATGGATGGTCAGGTCAATACTGTAACATCTCAAATACATGTTTAAAATCAAATTGTGTCCGAAATGGAGGAAAATGTTTGGGTCGATATCCATCGGATCATATGCCCATATGTGTTTGTGGACTTGGTCGTATCGGAACTGAATGTCAAGTCCAGGTTAATTTGTCTTCATGTAAAAATCAGCTTTGCAACAATGGTGGAACATGTATTGCATTGGACCAACGATCTAACAACAAACATAACTACAAATGCATCTGTAAGGAAGAATATTATGGTAATCAGTGTCAATTTCATTCTGCAACAGTTGACATTGAATTTTCAAGTGATCTTAATCAAGACAGAGGTTCCATTCCAGTAATGATTGTTCATTTTGTGGCACTTCAAAATGAATCACCAGGAATACTATTTTTACAAAATCGTTTCATGTACTTACAAGTTCCATTAAACAAAAATGTACACATTGTTAATAATGATATCGAATATTTACCCGAATTTATTCTTGTTCAAGTCTTTCTTACACCAAGCAATTTTGATTATTATATTGCGGCTATTATTAAACAACGACAGTTAAGTAGTTTGAGCACTATTGTTATACGATCAAATCGTTGTCCACATATCAACGAACTAATTGGTAACAACAAAACAATTCTAGAATTTTCATTAATGACAAAGGTCAAATATTATCATCATGCATGTGCTTTGAATTCAACAAAATGTTTTGTTGATAAAACTCATTTGTGTTTTTGTGATAAAGATCGAGCACCTGATTGTCTTGTATTTCAACATGAATCAACAGATTGTTCTCGAAACTATTGTCAAAATGGTGGTCGATGTGTACAAAATAATTACAATGGAATTTGGAATTTTGGATGTGTTTGTCAAGGATGTGTTTATGGAAATCTTTGTCAATTGACAACATCTCAAAATGCTTTTTCATTAAATGCCATGTTAGGTCAGGACATTTTAAAAGATGTTTCGTTAACAAATCAACCAACTTTGATCAAGATTACATTGACAGTTGTCATTTTAATGATCACAATTGGATTCGTGCCAAATTTTTTGTCATTGATCACATTTTGGCAACCGAAAGCACGTGAATTTGGTTGTGGTTTTTATTTGTTTTGTTTGCCAATTGTTGGCCAATGTGGATTATTGATATTTGGTGGTCGATTCTATTATTTGTTAGCTACACAGTTAAATGTTGTAAAAAATTTGAAAGCAGCATATTGGAGCTGTATTAGTCTTGAATATTTCCTCAGTGTATGTCCTGCTCTATTCGATTGGTTAACAGCGTGTGTGGCCATTGAACGTAGTGTAAATATTATCAAAGGTATATTATTCGAGAAAAAGGAAAGTGTCAAATGGGCAAAACGCGTTGTTGGAGTGCTTGTCATTCTTGTTTGTGCTAGTTCATGGCATGAATTATTTATTCGCCAATTGACTGATGATCCTAGGTCATTCACTCATACCTGGTGTGTCGTCAAATTCAGATGGTCACGGATCGAATACTATCGATTGGTAGTCAATTTAGTAAATTTGATTGTACCTTGGTGTATCAATCTGATTGCTACTGTTGTACTTTTGCACAAGACAGCACGACGAAAGCAAACATTTATGACATCAATATCTGGAAAAGGCTATTTTGTAACATTGAAGAAGCAAATTGTTTTGTATGGTAGTCCGCTTGCCTTGATTACACTTGTCTTAACACGACTGATATTTTCATTCACTTTGGGATGTATCGAACATGAATGGTAAAAATATATTTATCTTACAGCATATTTCATTTCATTTGTTCCATTGATGGGATCATTTCCAATTTTTGTTTGGCCTGCAGCAATTTATAAACAAGAATTTTTTAATTTTATTGAGCGTCAAAAACGAACAATGAAAAAATCATAAATGTGAGAGAATGGATCATTTTCATGTTTCTCGATATACTTCGCTTTCTATTACAATACTCCCAATTTTTTTTGCTTTAGTTCGCAATCGAACATTGAAGAATGAACCTTGGTTTTCTTAAAAGCTGTTTTTTATTGTAATGACGTTTTTGTCGAATGATGATGATTTTTGCTTCTACTTTTGATGTGACTAATATATAATCTGTGCTTTATGCACTGGGAAATGATATTCATTTTAGCTATTCTAAATCAATTGAGTCCATAAAGTCATCATTTTTTGAACATCATACGCATATTTACAGTCTAGTGCAGCTTTTATGTGTATCGTGTATTATTTTTATTTTTTTACATATACACAAATACCTATTCTGGTCGTATTTCAAATATGATTTTGCTTTTATTGCAAAATTTTTAGATTTATTGAACTTTTTCGCCCTATATACAAACCTTTATTTCTCATTGATTTTGTTGTTATGAGTTATTAATGTAGGTTTTTATTTGGAAATGAAAAACAGATACAATGCTTATTCTTCTGTTCCTTAATGTCGAAATACAAAAAAGAACAGAACATACAAAGCTCTATAATTATAACGTACGTACAGTGAAAAAGATCTAGACGAAGATACTGGAAATTCACGACTTATACTAAAATCAATTTTTAACTTCAACAAATTATGGTTTATTATATACTCTAAGGCCTTGTGCATGACTTTGCCAATGAATTGATTATTTGACGGCAGTACAGTATGTTTATCTAGTAATTTTTCATGTTTATCCTATAATTAAATATGATTCAAACAACCATGGAAAACTAAGTATTTGTTGTCGTGTACTTGATGCTTTCTTTGCATGTTGATAACAACATACGTAGCATGCAGCAGCTAATCCACAAAGTTCATTCGCACAGGATAGACATAGATTATCTATTTCACGTAGTTTTGGACTGCGACAATTCTTCAGCAAATAGAGAAATACACCCTCTCTTATTCGTTCGACAAGATGAGAAAATTCAGCTATCATCGACATCATTTTTTTGTTGTTTGGAGAAGAAGTACGACAAAACAGTCTTGTTTCATGTTGTAATTTATATAACGCAAGAATTTCTAATAATTCCTGCTTGTAAACGTAGAAAAACCTCTGCTTCTTTTAAATGCTGCTCGAAACCCGGACAATATAAGAGTTTATTGGTTTTGATTTCTAATGCTATGTGATCATCGATCGGTTCTACTTGAGGATCTAATGGATCCTTATTTTCTTCTTCCTCATTTCTTGCTCTATCATTTCTTGCTATATGTAAGTGTTTCAAATGTTTATGATAAGGGGTCTTACACAAACCGTGTCTAGCACAAAGTCTTAGAGGTTTCGTTTTATATTTCTGACAGGTTTGGCTCATCTTCTGATAAAATCGTTACTCATACATTCCATAGATCCACTTTGTAAAAGGGTCTATGATTAAAGAATTTTTAAATGTATTTATATCATTTCCACCATCTTTTTATCGTTCTACAGAGCGTATCACGTTCTATAGATAGGTGCGATACAAAAAGAGTTTGTACTCTTAACCAGTTACGTCCATGATCGTTTAAAGTAAAAATCTCTGTCTGTCTGTCCATCGACAAAGAGGATTGAAAATCATTAACTTTTGATAGCAGCTACGTGCAAGGCTCTAACTCAAAGGTTAGAGTGAATTCTCATCATTAAAGACAAACGCTCTTTTCGGTCTCTAGAAAACGTTTTGAGTTCATATATCTGTTCTTTAGCATGATTCGTAAATCGATTCAGCGATGTCTGAATACACTCAACATTTTAGAATTTCCAAGAACTGAGCAGACCAATATCGCGTAAAAGAAGATTTAAAATACTAATAATCACTGTATTTCTTTTTCAAGGTATTTCGGGTCAAAACTCACTTCTACTCTCTAAAAAAAATCGGTATTTTCAAAAACGAAAAGGGTATAGCGTTTTGCGTGCAAAACCCATTTTGGTTCCCTATGAAATATAGAAAACGAAATTAAGTTTTCCTGCAGCTGCTAAACCACTAGGTTTTGTAGTGTACCGTTTAACAAGCAAACTAAAATACCAAGAGGATATTTCATATTCTAAAATACCTTTTAAGGGTTTTTCATTTTTGATAGCATACCCAAAGG